AGTCCATCTTTGCTTATAATGCTTGTGACCTAAGGCAATATCGAGGCAATCCGCATAGGATAAGAGACCGATCACTTACAGTCCTAAACATCAATGGGAAGGTTCAAGTAAGCAATACCAAGTGTATTTACTGTATGATTATTAGATTTTACAAAGGCGTTTTGTAAGTTTGTACTTAAATACATCCAATTGTTCCCATTTGTTTACTCGTTCACTATAACATTATAATAAATAAGTAACTCTTCACGAACAATATTTGTTTACAATACAAAAGAAACAATCAAACCATGAAAACCATCCTGAATCTAAGTTCGCTTAAGTAAAAAAAACAAAAATTCAATTTTGTCCATTAGTTCATTGTTCTATTTATATTATTTATTTAAACACAAAAACATTGGTAAAAACGAGGCTTCAAATAGATATTCGCCATATAAATCATTCGATTCGTGTGAGGGATATGATACAGACCAGATGCCCAAATCGAACAAGGTGATTTGCATAGGAGGCCACACTCTCATCAATCAACCTAGAAGTCTAATCCACAAGGCTCTGGAGCAACGTAAGGAGATGCAGTCACATGGTTGCCGGTGACCAATAATTGGTTCATACACTATTTGTTCCTTTAGGATTCTATAATCCATGTGTAACATTTGTGTGGAATCAGAGTCTTTCAACTCCGTTAGATGGACTGTCTGTATTCACCATCCCTGTTAATGCACCAAACATTCGTTTTTCTTCCTCTCAATTTCGTAAACAACACCATGGATGAGAGAAATGTAGCGAATTGGTCATCTGTGGGTATGGTTGTATTGACGTGGCTATGTGAGAGCATTTTGAGAAGGATATTTACTTATACTGCGATTCTTATTAAATGGTTTCACATATTTGCTTCTGCATATAATTCCATTGAATCATGAAAACATCATATCGATAGTGGTCATTCCAGTTAACATACATACATAGAGATAAGTTCATGTATCGACTGTTATCACATATTAATGATAATTCGCATACTATGTATATAAAGTTGTAGTGAGACTATAATTTATGGACGAATCAACCATATTTAAGATAACAGGTCTTAGATTTTAGCACGAAATTCATTCAACCATTTGGTTAAATAGAGTTTTGGAATTATAACTTATTGTCAGTTGGTGATGAATAGCCTAAATCTAATTCCTAACCTTAACTCCATCAACTGTAAATCATAATCCTTATTCTTCAAACCCTAGTTATTAAGTGGGCACTCTCAAGATCAGTCTAGCTTCACTCAATGATCGTCTATAAACGATAATCTCACCAAAGTTGTTTCTTTGACATTTATTTAACTGATCATTTGTTTATTAGTAAAACTTAAAGTATCATGTTAAACAGACAATGATTGCGTCACTCTATTGTTTATCAAAATAAAAACAATTCATTATATAAGCAATGATGGACAGTGGCTAGCAGTGGAAACCAGGAAGCGCGTTTCATCCTATTTGGGACTGGTCAGCTGGATGTACCTGCATCTCAGAGTTGATTTTCACTATGGGACTCGAACTCAGTACCATTCGCTTGTATCTTCTCATTGAGGTTTAAGACTGCAATTGATCAGTCTGTTATTGGCATTCATTATATTAAAAAGGTCAATGTGAAAAAGTGTGTAATATGTGTAATGTTATCTTATAAATCAGATTAAAATCATTTCTAATTACGTAATTATTAATAAGATTGAATCTTGACAATTCTATCCTAAATATAAGCCCAAAACTCTAAAAGACTTAGAAAATCACTTTGAGATCATAGACCCGATTATTACTTATTTACTTACTTTCGCCTGTTAACCCTTGTGGAGGAGTATAGGCCACCGATCAGCATTCTTCATCCAACCCTATCCTGGGCAATCCTTTCCATTTATCCTTTTCATATCTGCTTCCAATTCCCGACGTAGTGTGTTCTTTAACCTTCTTCTCTTCTGTTTCCCTTCACGATTCTGAGTTAGAGCTTGCCTCGTGATGCAGTTTGGTGATTTCCGTAATATGTGTCCTATCCACTTCCAAAGTCTTTTCATAATTTCATCTTCAGATAGAAACTTGTTTGTTTTTGATGGTATCCAGCCGATGGATGTTGAGTATCTTACAGAGAGGATTGTTTTTAAATACTTGCATTTTTTGATGATAGTTGTAGTAGTTCTTCACATTTCAGCTCCATACAGTAGAACTATGTTTGACGTTCGTATTGAAGATCATAACTTGGATATTGGTTGACAGTTGTTTTGAGTTCCATATGTTCTTCAATTGTAGAAATGCGGCCCTCTGCCTGTAGCTCAGAATTCAATGAGCTAAGTAATCGAATGCAGTCGTTATAAAGTGCCAACAAATAAATGATATCAGAATAGGTTCTGTGGATAATACAGTAATTTCAATAGTTGAATTCATGAGTCAATTGAAGTCAGACTACCATGGAAAACTTGAAAGCACTGGACAGCCGTTTCGTCCTACTGTGGAACTCCTTAATCGTGACCGATAGGTCCTGGGTTCGAATCTCGCGATACCGGTATCATGGATGCGCACTGCTGAGGAGTCCCATACAAAGATGTAGTGGCAGTTCAGTGCTTCCAAATTTTTCATGGTGGTCTAGCTTCAACTGACTAATGATGTGAACTATTAAAAATAACTGATTGAAACAAAATCAACCAGCTCTCAAACGAGTGATCTGAGCACCAGACTTTACATACCCTTTATTTTTCAAACCTGAAGAACTCATATGCTGATATACATAAAATATGAGACCAAACGACACCATTAATGATAAATGTCACTTGGTATACGACTAGGAGATTCGTAATAGAAGGCTAGGTAACAACTTTAATGTGAGCTGACTATAATTTATGAATAGTACTATAACTTAAAAAGCCTGTACATAATGTTACAGTTGCTTCACAAATACACTCAAGAAATATATAAACTGATCTCTATCAAAGCAGTTTCTCTAATTGCATAACTTTATACTTTGATGCTTCTTATTACTTGGTGGCTTCAAATCATTTACGTTAGACAACTTTTACTGAAACATTTTCAAGCATACTTGATGAAACAGCTAGTTGATTTAGTTGTGTGAGGACGGTTCACGGGTAAACTCAAGGAAGATCTAAGAAGCTCCAAAGAACTGAAGGTATTCCATCCAATCATTTTTAAAAAGAATATTGCAGAATCTATACGTATAGCTTCACTATGGGACAAATGCTACAACTCCCTGTATTCAGATTAGATGACTATAATGATTTCATTTTTACTAAAAACTATAAATACCTGGAAGTTTTGTACCATATTTTACATTGTTTTGGAATAGCACTACTTTTACTTGTCGTCTATCTTCATATTTGCGACTTAGAGGGTTCCAGAGTTCGAGCGCTCAATTTGTACGCAGTTTAATAAGAACTTAAGCACTAGATATAACAGGTTGTGAGAAACGTTAATTGTAGATTATCATCATTTTAAGACAGGGATTCTTGGATAAATTGATCATTTTAATTCACAAGCCATTAGAAATATGAACTAATGATCTTATATCTGAGAGTCGAAGATCTTCTACACTAATGTAGTAAACAGGATACCATGTAGCATTTTATTATTTATTTATTTCTGTAAACACTTAAACATTGGCACAACGAGGCTTCAAATAGATATTCGCCATATAAATCATTCGATTTATGTGAGGGATATGATACTGATCGGGTGCCCAAATTGAAGAAGGTAATTTACTTAGGAGGCCACACTAAGAGCCTTAGACCTAGAAGTCTAATCCACAAGATAGTGTAGTGGAGTAACGTCAGGAGATGCAGTCCCGTGGTAGGCGATGACCAATAATTCGTTCATACACTATTTGTTCCTTCCGGATTCTACAATCCATGTGTACGATTTGTGTGGAATGAGGGTTTTCCAACTACTCTGGGTGGACTGTCTGTATCCACCATCCCGGTTAAAGGGATGGACATTCGTTTTTCATCCTCTCAATTTGTTAAACAACTCCGTGGATGAGAGAAGGTAGTTAGTAGGAATTTCCTGTCAGTGGCTGTATACACGTGATCATTTGAGAGCATTTCGAGATGAAGAGTTGACTCTCTCTACTCTCGATCGTACCAGGGCATTCAAGGGTTATTCTATTATGCTAACCCCCCCTAACTGAAGTTTGTGCTGATGATGTCGTTCAGAAGAACGATAAAAGCTCTACGAATAAATCATCCAGCTTAGAGAACAAAATTCCATCAAAATCATTCACCTGAGCTACAAATCTTCACCATCGTAGATGAATTATATTCAATGATTGTAATCTCTATTCATATGAAAAGTATAATGGTCTAATCAAAACTTCATTTGTTGAATATTTTGTTCTAACCTCGAATGCCTCATATGTGACCATAGAAGATATAATTTTAGTTAACGTCAGTCTATAATGATGTTACGTTTATATCAAAACATACATCAGACATATTTACAAGATAATATTTAACTATATCAGTAGCTTTATTGTATTACATGAATTGATATAGCAGCCATATATACAAATCGTTTTGTTTCGATGATCGGCATTGATTCTACTTTGAAGTTGTTGAAAAAAAAAATCTGTATGATGTTGTGGAGATTGGTAAGTTTTTTTTTGTTGAGAACATGAATCGACCGATGTTAGACCACCATTAAAAACCTGGAAACTTTGAACGGCCGTTTCGTCCTAGTATGGGACTCCTCAGCAGTGCGTATCCACGATCCCCCACGCTGGATTCGAACTCACGACTTCAAATTTCGTGCGCGAATACTCAGCATCTAGACCAATGAACCAGATGGTATCCAACGATATTCACGTCTAATTTTCATCGATCCATGAATCTAAAATCAATCAATTCATGATCTCAATCGAAAGAAAATCTTTCCAGTTCAATTTATGAAACATTCCTTTTTTGTTATAAACAAAAAGGCACATTTAAAATTCTTTCATATTAATATTTAATTTGATTACAGTTAAAGTTACAAGATGATGAATTTTGGAATCCTCGTTTATTAATTGATAATGCTGAAGGTGAACCAATTGAAATAGTTAGTCATGAAGTAGAATTTATAGAACCAGATTTTGAAGCATATCTTGTAGAGAAACGACGAATTAAAGGTATCTTTCATGAAACATTGGAATTAAGACATTTCCCATTTGATTGTCAGGTAATTTAATGAAAGAATTTTGTCATTTTTTCCTTCTTCTTCTTCTTCTTCTTCTTTGTCTTCTATAACATTTACTAATGTTAATAATATGGATTTATTAAAGTGTTTGTACATGTATAATGTTATACAATAATAGTATTGTGCAAATGTTCCATAGATGATAGAATTGATTTGTAGCTTAAATGGATGCTTTTGATGGAGTTTTATGCTCTAATCTGGATGATTTGGTTGTGAAGCTTTCATTTTCATTGTGAAAGACATCATCAGCGTAAACGTCAGATAGAAGGACTTCAATCCATTCAGCTAAGAGTATAAAACTTCATCAAAATGTTTTGATTCCATTTAATAATTGTTTATATGTAGAAATAATTGAATAAGAATCTATATTATCGACTTGCTTACTTGCTGACATACATTTGTTATTCCTTTTGAAGGAGCATAGGTCATCCAACAACACTCTTCATCGAATTACATCCTTGACAGTCTTTTCCAATTGGTTCCAGTTGCTATTCATTCTTTTTGTTCTTCGGTTTTCCTCTTTTAGAACTTGTCTCATGATACAGTTTGGTGATTTTCGCATTATGTGTTCTATTGACTTCCAACATTTTTTCCTGATTTCCAGTTCAACTGGAAGTTGATTTGTTCTCTCCCATAATAGGCTATTGTTGATGGTATTGTTCATAACTACTTATACTTTCTTAATGATGGTTGTAGTATTTCTCCACATTTCAGCTCTATACAATAGAACTGTGTTGACGTTCGTATTGAAGATTGTGACTTTGATATTGGTTGACAATTGTTTTGAGTGAATTAGTTGATGATGACCTATTCGAAATCATGCTATTCACATCAAGCACATTGGTTATGCTCAAAATATACAGAATTATTAAAATGAATACGTCTGAATACTTTAAGTATGACTGTCTAAATTATTCAGATATTTCTTAGTATTATAACAAGTTCTGTACCTCTATATACAAAAACTATATTGTACTGGAAGTATTCATGTAACTGGAAAAAATATTCCGTTAATAAGTGTATATAGAAAAAGCAACGCAATTGATTGATCACTAGGTGGTGATCAGTATCATGTGGATCAGGTCCTTCTTAGTGAAAATTGAATGCTATCGACCAAGTTGTAATGTAGTCACTAGCCTAGGTGACTCAACATTGTGTGTACTGTGTTGAGATAAGATGATGGTTGGAGGTAATCAATAGGAAACCCTGAACCTTGGTTTCGTGCTGCTTGGCACTCATCAGCATAATGTACCTGTAATCTTGAAGAGACTGGTGCTCCCTGACGGATTCGATCCCGGATCAACCAGCTTCACAGACAGAAACGTTACTACAGAGCTGTCTGGGCCGCGACTGGCCTTCTGTATGACTGAGATGTATTTACAATTGATTGATCACTGGGTGGTGATCAATATCATGTTAATCAAGTCCTTCTTAGTGCAGATCGAATCCTATCGTCCAAGCTGCAATGTATCCACTGGTCTAGATGACTCGACATTACGTGAATTATGTTGAAATAAATATGGTGTCATGTGTCAAAATAATTCATTTCAATTATCAAAATTCATCAACATATCAGATTGTTTATCACAGTTATGCACTCAGTCTTTCATCGTCCATTTACATCTATTCTATATTCCGCAACCTATGCTAACTGTAGACTGTCTTCTGTAGCTTCTATTCTAGTCTCACAATTATTCGCAACTCGCAGTGTTTTTGGCTTTACGAGACTCCTGTCTTCGGCTACCGACTGTGGAAACTTCCGTACGATCCTCAACTGACTACCACTGGTAAACAATCTTGTGAGTAGTGTCCATCACATTAGTCATGGCTAGTAATTTTTTCTTACACAGGTGCGCGTAATTTTGGATACTAATAATTTAAAATTTCCTACCTATTCATTGTCTTAACTTAATACACTCTGAATATTTAGCTACCATAATACGATTAGACTATTTAGTCCATTTAGTTAAACGTTTAATTTCAGAAGAGGATTTTGTGGATATTATACTAATTTTATTCGTTGAATTCATGAGTCAATTGAAGCTAGACTACCATGAAAAACCTAGAAGCATTGGATGATCGTCTCGTCCTAGCATGGTACTTCTCAGCAGTGCACATCCACGATCTCGCACCGCGAGATTCAAACCCAGGACCTATCGATATCGCACGTGAACATTGAACCTCTAGACCACTGGGCCAGCCGGTATCTAACAATGGTAATTTCTAACTTCAACCAATCCACGACACTGCACGACCGTTTATCATTGTCTTTAGTGCGTTACCGTCTCACAACAGACACAGTTTGACTCCACTGGTCACAACTGTTCACTAGAATCCCAGGAAACACATTCTGAAGAGTTCTGTAATCGGACGAAACGGCCATAGAGTGCTTCCAGGTTTTCCATGGTAGTGTAGCTTTAATCAGCCCATGAATTCAACCATTAAATTACTACCACTTCCACAAACCCGCATTACACTTGTTTAAAAACTCTTAATTCTGTGCTAATTTTTTTTCCTATGCTAAATATAAGGATCTATCCGTTACAATCACATGTGATCGTACAACAGATGAAGTGGAATTAGTTGCTTCACCAACAGAAGTTAGTCAAGTTGATGTAAGATGTGCAGCTGACAGTCAAGAATGGAAAATATTTCATCATGTCGATGTAAGTTGATAATCTATTTATTTGTAGTGTCAGTCATTATATGAATCCCATATATCTTATTCTATCTTTTGGACAGGCCAATCCATTCATTCTATTTGAGTCATATTTTGACCTTGTTGATTATTCGTTTATCAATCTTGACTGTTTTTATATGAGCGTATTTAGGTGTATACTTCTTATCCTATTCATCACATATCTGTAGGTTATTTTTGTGTGACTATAAATATCGATGAACGCTTGATTAAATGGAGTTAGCTTACCCGCCATCACAACTGCGCGTCGTTTCGCTTTCCTCTATTGCATTCTCGTTATTTGACTTATTTAATTCCGTTATTCACTCAAAGCGATTTAAGTCGATGATTATATACGAGGATAAGCGACATATACTTTTCGACAATAATCATCCATACGATCTACTTGAATTCAGATCCCGGGCCACCAAAGTCGAGAGCCTGTCGACAAACATCATCCGATCTAAATGACAACAAAACAAAAGGCCACCAAAAGTTGATAATCTATTCATCTGTTCAAATTTGAATTGTCTTCAATTGATGAATATTGAAAAAATAAAGACAATTTACAACCCGTGTGGATGCTTTCATTGATAGAAGTTCATATAAATTAAACGGTCTAGAATAATGGTATGGTCTAATAATATGGTCTAGAATAACAGTTATGGTTACTTATTTAAGCTGTTTAGAATAGAGATTTGTGGAGATTTCAGTAATTTAAACTAGATCGTTATTGAAAACCTGAAACCACTAGACGGCCGTTTTGTTCTAATAAAGGACTATTTAGTTCAACAAAACACAAAATCAATTTTTGATGAGAAATCATATTTTTAAACAAAGATGGATGGTAGCTAGTAGTGGAATCTAGGATGTGCGTTTCATCCTATCTGAAACTCATCAACTGAGTGTACTTGAATCTAAGAGTTAATGTTCACTCTGGAAGTCAAACCCAGTAGCATTCGCTTCCAATGCCATTGTGTTATCTACTTAGATACTGAGTTTCTGATGCCTTATGCAATAAGGTAAAGTCTAAATTCACTTGATATTGTTTGCTCGTATCTTCCTTTTGATGTTTAGGTCTACAATTGATCAGTCTGTTGTTGGCGATATCAAGGCAGTCCTTACAGGATGCACATATGCCAACATGAGATTGATCAATTAGTAGTCCTAAACAATAAAATACGAAGATATAAGGTAACAAAACCAAGTGAACTCAATAAAGAAAACATGCATCTTACACAAAATATCAAACTGCATTTCGCATACGATAATAATAATAATAATGAAACAATGCTATCAATAATCTTATTCACTATTATCTATTTCATCACATTAGGGAATTCTTAACACTGATTATGTAATATTATTCAAATTGTAATCAATCCAAGTTTACTTTAGAAATGTCAGTTTCTAACACTTCAGTTGATGTAAACTAGTTTCTTATCTAATCAATACTATATATGACTAATGAATTAAAGTAAATTCATACCCCAAAATAGAATAGATGATTTGGCTAGCAAAAAATAGAATCTAGGACATGCCTTTTCTCCTATTCACCATTCTTCAGTTGCCTAATATATACATACCACAGCTGATTTCCACTAAGGGACTCGAACTAAGTACCGTTCGCTTCAAACGCTATCACACAAACAAATGACTAATTGAACTCAGTGGCAAAGTGAATAACTCGATAGCATTTAAAACGAATGGTACTAGATCCCAGTCTCAAGGTGATGCACTATTGGGGATGTTAGATCCTCAGAACTCATTTGGTAAATACCTTATTTTTGTAATTTTATTTGAAAATTTTAATTTTTTGTATTCGTGTCAAAAGCGCTCATTTTCACATTCATGGTTCATTGTATCTTTTAGTATGCTATTCTGTAACTCTTCCCAAGGACAATGTTGTGATTTATATATATATCTGATTTGTGCCTGTTATGAGTGCTCGTGCTTTTGGCTGCTTGTGGAATATATTTCCGCATTTCGAACCTGAACTTCTCTCTCTAGTTAGTGGGGCTGAGACGCATCAGAATAACTAGTTTATTACTCTTTGGTCACAGAGTTTTTGTTCCGTTCTCAGACTAGGTGAACTCGTAATCACTTCAAACATAGCATGCACGTACATCCAACTGACAAGTCCCAAGCAGAATAAAAGTGCTATCCTAGATTTTACTGTTAGCCATATTATTTATTTCGATCAACTTGTGTCATAATGGCTATATCAAAGCAACTTGTAAAGGATACATATATACTAATCAAGACCAATCAAATCTCGATCAAAAACATCGGTAACAAGATAATCCAGAACTATATATCTCGCCTAATCAAATGATAGGAGTCAAGACTATAATTTATGGACGAACCAATCAGATTTAAGATAACAGATCATGGACTTTAGCGCGAAATTCATTCATTCATTCATTTGTCTAAATAATGTTTTTTTTTGGAATTTCAGCTGATGTCAGTTTATGATAAGTAGGTGAACATTCTCAAGATCATTATAGTATCCCATTGTATTATATCTTTGTATACTTTGAGTTTCTGTTATATGATACGTCTTCTATCTGGACATATAGACAGCGACTATCCAACATTTCCCTATACTTAGAAAGGTTTTTAAACTCTTGAAAGAAAACTGAAGACAGAACATTCAAAGGAGCTGTTATTACGAATATTCATATATAAAAAACAAAGGTATTTCAAAGAACATATGTGACTTTGATGTCCTACAAGTTTATGGAGACATGTACAATACTTTAAAAATGATCACTTGTTAAATAATCAAGATGATGAAAGTATAATCATTTAGTTCTTAGGTTATTATTAGAAGTTTCTAAAGAATATTGATTAGTCGGTGCACTTTTAACATTCTTCCTGTATTCTGAAGAACTGTTTAAGTAATTATAAAAAGGTTAACAATATTATTACTGATAATCATTTCATCAAATGGATCATTTCAATCATCCTGATGGGATTGTTGAGATTACTAAGTTTTTGATTAAGATCACGAACTGATTGATGTTAGACCATCATTGAAAAACTGGAAGCACTGGAAAGACTTACTTACACCTTTTACTCCCAATAGAGAATAGGCCACCGACCAGCATTCTCCAACTCAATCTGTACTGGACCTTCCTTTCGAGTTCTATCCAACTGTTGTTCATTAATCTTCCTATGTCTCTCTCCATTTGTCGACGTAATGTGTACTTTGGTCTTCCTCTTCTCCTTTGGCCTTCACGATTCCATGTGAGGGTTTGTCTTGTGACGCAGTTAGCTACTTTCCTCAATGTGTGTCTTATCCACTTCCAGCGCTTCTTCCTGATTTCTTCCTCCGCTGGGATCTGGTTTGTTCTCTCCCACAGTACGTTGTTGCTAATAGTGTCCGGCCAACGGATCCGAAGTATTTTGCGTAGACAACTGTTAATAAACACCTGTATTTTCTGGATGATGGCTTTTGTAGTTCTCCAGGTTTCTGTCCCATACAGTAGAACTGCCTTGACATTTGTATTGAAAATCTTGACCTTGGTGTTGGTTGAGAGTTGCTTTGAGTTCCAGATGTTCCTCAGTTGTAAATATGCTGCTCTTGCTTTGCCGATCTACGCCTTCATATCTGCATCAGATCCACCCTGCTCATCAATGATGCTGCCCAAATACGTAAAGGTTTTTACATCTTCCAAATCTTCTCCGTCAAGTGTGATTGGATTGGTGCATGCTGTGTTGTATAGAAGAATCTTGCTTTTTCCTTTGTGTATGTTGAGACCTACTGCTGCTGAGGCTGCTGCAACACTGGTCGTCTTCTCCCGCATTTATTATTGCGTGTGAGATAGAAGAGCCAGATCATCTGTGAAGTGAAGCTCGTCCAACTGCATCCTACCTGTCCACGTATCCCATGCTTCCTCCCAGATGTTGACGTCTTCATGATCCAGTTGATCACCGGGAGAAAGAGAAAGGGTGAGAGTAAGCAACCTTGCCTGACACCGGTCTTTACTTCGAACAAGTCTGTCAGCTATCCACTGGATGGACGTGTCGCTCCATCACAGGACTCCTCAACAGTATTTATCCACGATCCCGCTCTCTGGATTCAGTCTCACACGCAAACGATTAACTATTAGACCATCAAGTCGGTCAACATCTAACAGTGTTCATGTCTAACTTCAACCAATCCACTAAATTACGCGACAACCTTTCATTGTACTAACATAGATGATACCTGTCTCTAACCAACACGAATTGTATTACGTAATCTACATTAAATCAATTCAGTCTTTCATGTAATATATTGTGTGTTTTTTTAAAAATTTCTTCTTTAGATTAAATCAATAGAAATTCAAACAGGTTATAGTCCTGGTACAAGTAAACGTCATCATCCTGGTTTAGTATTTACAAGTCGTTCAGCACGTCGTTCTGGTTATTTTCTAGTGAATATGATATTAATTAGTTGTGTATTATGTTTATTATCATTTGCTGCATTCTCTGTACCAGCTAATGAAAATCGTTTACAATTATCATTATTATTATTATTAACTACAGTGACATTTAAATTTGCTGCATCACAAAATCTTCCAAAAATTTCATATTTAACATATTTGGTAAGTAGAATTATATTGAGAATTATTGTTAAAATAACTGAGATAGATAAAGGATTATAGATGTTGACTCAATGATTTAATGGGTAAGTGTTCGTGTACAAGATTGAAGGTATTGGGTCCGAATCCCGAGAGTGGAATTGTAGATGTACATTACTGAGGATTCTCATAGTAAGACGAAATGGCCAGCCAGTGATTTCAGGTTTTCAATAGTGGTCTAGTATCAATCGATTCATGATCTTAATGAAAAAGATTGTATATTCGTTTCATGTTGATTAATGAAGCATTCATTTGAAAGTTTTAATTAGTTTTGTTCACAACATGTAACTCTAGTTGCTAGTTACTGTATGGTTAGGATCAAGTGACTTAAAGTTTAAAATAACTATCATGTGATTACAGTCGAATTGTTATTAGAACACAAAGAGTGACCGAATACATATGCGCCACACAAGTCCCTTGATTTGTGTGTGGGCTGTTATGTTGCCTGGGTGCCCAAACCGAAGAAGGTGGTTTACTTTAAAGGCCACTTCTGCAGACTTCGACCAAAATGTCTGATAGACAAGGTAGTGGGACAATGTCAAGAGATGCAGTCCCATGGTTGCCGGTGACCAATAACTGGTTCATATATCATTTGTTAACTCAGGATCCTGGAGCCCATGTCCACCATTGGTTGGGAAACAGGGTTTTCCAACTCCTTCAGGTGGACTGTCTGTGTCCACCAACGGGGTTAAAGCGCTGGACGTTTGCCTTTCGTCCTCTGAATATCCTAAATGCACCCCGTCCTTGAGAAGGCAGTGAGTAGGACCTATGTGTGAACGGCTGTATACGCATGGCTATATGAGAGCATTTCGACAGCGCTAGGCGAGTCTTCCCACCCCCGGTCATACCGGAGCATTAGAGGGCTTACAATCGAATACTATTCTGATAATAAAGACTTCTGTAGATATTTCTGCCCAAGTATCACTGAGCAACATAGAACACCAAACATTTGAGTTCAGCCGGGTCTGTTGTCGCTCAATTTCATAGATTGATTGACGTTAAACACTAACACCGTTGGATGCCAGCTAGTTCATTGGTCTAAAGGTTAATCGCTCATATATGAGACCAGGATTCTGATCTCACAAGGTGGGATCGTGGATGCGCACTGTTGAAGAGTCTCTTAATAGAATGAAATGGTGGTCCAATGCTTCCAGGTTTTCCATGATGGTCTAGCTTTAACTAACTCATCAATTCAACTATAAAATCTAATGTTTATTCAATTATTTCCTTGATATTTGTATAGATAAATAAATATTCAGTCCAACACTTGCTACATTCTTATACAAATAACAGACCGTCCCATTAATAATAATGATAAGGTGTATTTGTTTATGTACGTACATACATATGTATGTATATATGAAGATACATTAAATAAACAGAGATAAACTAAAAGAGATAAAGCTTCATCTTTCCTTTATAGAGTATTTAACTTAACTGTATAAACCATCCATTTGAAATTCATCAATTCTGCCATGAAGTATAACTTAACAATGAGCATTACAATAAGAATAACTAGTCAGTAAATGAAATTCCTCTTTAGTGGATATTCAGCGCTTCTTCACTGTATATAGTTTACTTTAGTAAATGCCTCATTATTACTTTATTTTACGAGATTTGTTTGTGATTACATCAATTTCAATGTTAATGTTCACTTTGAGACTCATTACAAAATGAAAACAACTCATGAATTAAGAATGTGGATCTTGATAAAGATCCATATATTCAACACATTATATCAACTATCAATGAATGTTGACAAATCTAAATAAATAAACTGGATAAAATATGAATTCTGGAAAACATTGGAGAATGTGTACACTTTTTCGTAGATTAGTGATGAATTATAACGTTATTGAGATTTCATTTCTGTGTTCTATATTTGCCGAATTGATTAGTTACTTGTTGATCTGTAAGGAATACAAAGATCAATGAATTAGTGGAGTATAGACCTTGTGTTATAGTTGAATTCATGAATCTATTAAAGTTAGACCACCACAGAAAACCAGGAAGCACTGAATGAGCGTTTCGTCCCAGTATGGGACTCCTCAGATGTGAGCGCCCACGATCACGCACATGGAACTCAAACCTAGGACCTTCGGTCTGGCGCGCGAACGCCTGACCTTTAGACTAATGAGCTGGTCGGCATCCAACGGTATTAATGTCTAACTTCAACTAATCCACGATATTGCGTGACCGTCCATGATTGACTTCAGTGAGTTATTATCTCACTGCTGAGGAGTGCCATAGTAGGACGAAGTGGTCATCCAGTGCCTCCAGAATTTCCATGGCGGTTTATCTTTAATCGACCCATGAATTCAACTATTAAAAAATAACTACAATCTCCCACAGTAGGCTGTTCCTGATAGTATACAGTTAACGGACATTGGATATCTTACGCAGAAAATTATTGACAATTACTTATACATTTTTGATGATGTTTGCGATAGTTCTGCAAGTTTCAGTAGAACTGTCATGACATTCGTATTAAAGATTGTGACTTTGATGTTGGTTGACAGTTGTTTTGAGTTAGATATGTTCTTCAACTGTATGAATGTTACCCTTGATTTGACAATCCTTACCTTCACATTTGCATCAGATTCTTCTTGTTCGTCGATGATGCTGTCGGAGTACGTGGAGTTTTTATCTACTCCATAGCTTATTTATCAAATGTGTTTGAGTTGGTGCTCTCTGTATTGTATTTGAAGATGTTTCTTTATCCCTTGAGATTACTTGATTAATTTCATATATATCTAGGTATCTTGAGAGATTGGATTTAACAGAAATTGAAACATTCCTTTTTCTATAGAGGCTTTCTAGGCATCTATCTACTAACCATCATTTATTCTGATAAAGCCATTGTATTGTATCGGTAAATGAAAAACAAAACACAACTAAATGTTCTAGGTATTATGTAATCTATCGTGATTGATTTATTGAATCTATTTAGTGTATACTTGTATATTGGTATAAGACTGTTTAAAGTTGTATTTACTAACGTAGTTAATAAACACTGGAGTTTAACTTTAGAAAATCATTTTCAAAATTAAATTTATTTCCATAACTTCATAGAATTGCCTATTCTAAGCAACTCATTAGTGCTTCATACATGCCTACTTACTTATTTTTTACGTACGCCTGTTACTCCCAATGCAGCATAGACCACCGACCATCATTCTCAGACCCACTCTGTTCTCTGCCCTCCTCTCTACTTCTATACAATTGTTGTTCATTCTTTTCATTTCTGTCTCCATTTCGCGACGAAATGCGTTCTTTGGTCTTCCTCTTTTCCTTTGGCCTTGACGATTCCATATGAGGGCTTATCTTGTGACGCAGTTGGGTGCTTTCCTCAATGTGTGTGCTATCCACTTCCAGTGTTTCTTCCTGATTTCTTACTCAGCTGGGATCTGGTTTCTTCTCTCTCACAGTAGGTTGTTGCTGATAGTTTCTGGCCAACAGATCCGAAGTATTCTGCGTAGTAAGAAACGCTTTACTTCAAAGATTCATTTATGTATAGGAAATGTAGGGTATTTCTAGTATTTTAGATAGCCTTTGGTTTCCGGAAATTTCTGGAACCCTACTAAATGCAGTAGCAGTACAGGTAATCATCCAATGAGAAACTCGACATGTAACTTTTCACTTTCTATATTTTTCGGCCAAACCTCTATTGAATGCTGATTGGATAAGAAGTTTCTCAGCGTTTTCAGAGCCTATTGTTGGCTATTTCTCGATAAGTTTCCTGGATCTCCCCAACAATATCAATGTTTTTATTCATTTCATATAATAACAAGATTAACGTTGAACATCCATATATCGGAATTTGATATGTTTAATAAAAAAGATTATCAATACTAGCAGAGAATCACATAATAAATATAAGGATAGTTTTCAGTAAGAATGTACAATGAATGTAACTCTAGCTAATAAATTTACAAATATATTTTATCCTACTATAAAACATTATAAGTAGTTAATACTATAAAATAAAAGATTTAGACCTTGAGGTGCAATAAAAATACTGATCTAAAGTATTTATTTCTAGTTGATTGAGATCATGAATCGATTAATGTTAGACCACCATGGTAAACTTGAAAGCACTGGACGACCATTTCGTCCTAGTATGGAACTTCTCAGCAGTGTGTATCCACGATCTTGCATGCGGGATTCAAACCCATGACCTTGGATCTCTCGCCTGAACGCTTAACCTCTAGACCAACCACTTAGCTGGCCGGCACCTAACAGTGTACCATACTAGGATGAAACACCCATCCAGTGCTTTCAGCTATTCAATGATGGTCTAACATCAATAGATTCATGATCAGATTCAAAAACTGAACAATCCCTACAGCTTCATCCTGATGCATTTTTCTTAAAGAAACAAATCATCTATCTGTTTTCATTTCAAATCTAAGTGATTAATTTAATATTCTAATCTTGTTTAAGTTTTATATTCTTTAATAATTTCATTGAAACATTTAAAATTCTATGATATATATATATACTACTTAATTCGATGAAATAATGATGAATAATGATTATCCATTTATTAATAATTATACATTCCCAGTACTGTTTAATATCAACAATGACTTAGTTCTTTTACAAAGAACTAAGTTCCTTGAATTTCTCATTCAACCTGCATAATGACTTTTCTGCTTAAACTAAAAGGCTGATTAGATGAGACTTTCGATTAAAATTATAGTTACAATGTCAAAGAGTAAACAGGCTATGAAACAATATTTTCTATGTATAACACTTACAATGACTTCTACATCGTCCACAAATGCCATGGTATGATCGAGAGGGGGGAGAGTCAGCTCTCTTGCTCTCCCTCGAAATGCTCTCAGATGACTACATGCATAAAATCACTCACACGGAAATCCTACTCACTGCCTTTTCGTGACGAGGATGTTGTTTACGAAATTAAGAGGATGGAATGCGAATCTCTGACTTTTTAATCGGGTTGGTGCACAAGAAGGGTTAATTTGGAAGAATCGGAAACCCATGATCCTGAGGGAACAAATGTCGTATGAACCAATTGTTGGTCACCTACTACGTTGCTCCATTATCTTGTAGATTAAACCTCTAGATCAAAGGCTCGGAGTGTGGTCCCTTAAGAAAGCCAAATGCTTCGTTTTGGTCAACCGAGCACTATCCCAGCCCTCACACAACTCGAATGATTTATGTAGCGCATACTCTTTTCTTAAGATAACGTATAACTAAATACGGATAAAGATTTACATTTTTGAAATGATATATAATATTTTTAGTTCAAGATGTAGATTTTAGAGGTGTTATACTGTTTGAACTAGATGGTTTAGTCATAATCCATTTACTGCCTCTCTAGACAACATCATCAGATCAGAATTTTTTCTAGGTAGTGAAAATGTCATGACTAAATTGTTCAATTCTGACAGTCAAACAACTTATTTTTCAATGTTTAACAAGATCTCGTTTAAACTGTTTTGGTCAAAAAGTCTTCATACGCGTTCTAGAATTGGTTGTACTGATTAGTCACTTAATGGTATTCAATTATTTAATCCGAAGTACTGGTTGAACCCTAACGATGAACTTACAATTCAATTACTAATCTTGAATCAATCACTTCAACACTAGAGCTCTCACTTTCTCATGAGCATCAACTTACGCAAATCCCGGTATCGAAGCTTTCCACTGGTGGTCTATAACTACATAACGCCTAGAATAGTACATTCAAACATTAAGTCATTTAGGCTAGTGATTGTTACAAATGTTTGTCTAATGAATCCTGTTGTAAATAATCGACATTAAATCCCACTAACGATGCCTAGTACAAGTGTGATTTGGAATACAAAGTGGAAAGTCAACTTTCCATACACCTTGCTTAAATAATCCACCATCCTAGAACTCAGGTAAACGAAGTTCTTTCAGATGTCACGAAGTATCTGATATATATTCTAAATTTTCACGACAAATTGATCCCCCCCTCATCACTTTTTATTAGAAAAATGACATTAGATCTCTCTATCTAATCTGTACACTTCCCTAAAGCACTGAAAGTTGAGTATATTTAGCGTTATTTGATTATATTTAACGACGTTTAGGGATCTTCAAATGCATCCGTGGTAATAACCTTCAATAGTGATTCTCTCCCGAAATATTTATGGATTCACTATATTTATTGTAATCCTCCTATTCACACGATATCAAAAGAAACGATCTTCTTAGCACATAGTTTTCATTTTCAATCCACATAAGGTTTTATTATTTCTGCTTAAAAAAAATGAACTACTTGTAAGTAGCTCAATATTTTGAGTAAAAGTTTTTATATGGATTTTTTTATTTCCTAGGATAAAGTTGTCCTGGTGAATTTTTTCATGCTTGTCATTCTCACTGTATGGCATGCTATAGCTCGTGCTGTATCTTCTTCAAAGCCAAAATTTTTAGAATATGAACATTATGTTATGTACAGTCTACTCAGTTGTTATTGTATTGGTTCTGTGTTATTTGGATTAACGGTTTATCTCGATGTAAGTGCATATTAATTAGCATACTTATACCATTGCTTCTGAAAAAAAAATAATAATAACGAGTGTACGGAATAGTTATTATTTTATAATTGAGTATATGGTTGGTAACCTATTTAGCCGCTACTAGGCTAAGCGAACAATTCCAGTGGTTATCTAACATGAAAGAGACATTTCCACTGCATTCTAATTGTTCTGCTGATAAACTAAGAAAAAAATTGAATCGACACTCAGGATGTTAATTTACATCATGTCCATCAAAAACAAGTTCATAACCATTCAATTTCAGTTCTTCAATGTGAAATTACTTACACTATTCAACATCCATCTCTGTCTAAAGTGTACTTTAAAGGTAACTGTCAATCATGTTGTTTGACTAATTTCTGTATTGAGTACAACAGAAGATGATCGTGTCATATTGTGATTTTACTGAAGTTAGACTTGGAAATGAATGAATGACAGTTCATTTCGCTAAAGGTTAATCACTCGAGTACTATACTAAAAGCCCTTGGTTCGATTTCCGCTGATGAATTCGTGAACACTTATTGGTAAAGAGTCCAATTATAGGAAAAAATGGAAGTCCAATTTTTACAGGTCACCAATAGTTGTCTAGCATAGATCAGTTCATGACCTTAATAAAAGTGAACAAACTCTGCCACCCCACTGTCAGAATTATAACATTGTACGAAATACTTTAGAAAGTATATTCAACACATCACCATTAAGTTCTTCATTTATCAATCAACTAATAAGAATCTTAGGAAAGAAAACTACTCATCAATTTGTCCCATCACCATGAAGATTTTATGTACCAGGGATAGGGATTAATTTCTGTTTAATAGTTTTCAACATTCACTTAATTGTCTAAATGTACGATTTTCATAAAATCTACTACATAACGCTTTAGAGGTTGATCTATGATACAACATTACGAGTCAGTTACTTGAATTATTTCACTATTTTTATTAGTAGACTTATCACTGCAGACAATAAATAAATTATCAATTAATTAATTAAATTCATGAATCAATTGAAGCTAGACCATGATAGAAAACTTGAATGCACTGGACGGCTGTTTCATCCTAGTATGGGACTCTTTAGTAGTGCGCATCCCCTAATCCATCGCGCGAGATTCGAACCCAAAACCTAGAACTCAGGACCGTTCAGTGCTTTCAGGTTTTTCATGATGGTCTAGCTTCAATTGACTCATGATCCCATTTGTCTAATAGGGAAGCACCACATTGAGATACTGGAATGTTCCTTCAAAAAGATGATTGGATGGAATATCTTCTGAACTTCTTAAAGCTTCCTCGAGATCACTTGTGGATCATCCTCACACAAAACATGTTCAACGAATTACGTAATATATATATAATAATTTATAATTGAATCATAAAAATCATTTAATCATCAGTGTACTCACGTACATTTGATTGTCGCCAATTGTGTTCTTGTTCACTAAATTTGGTGCCACTGCCAACCTAGAGAGAGGAAACGTACTATTCTGCGGACACCGATGAGGGCCTGAAACTGAGATGCTAAGTGATGTAATGTGTACTGCTTATGTAGATACAAATAGTACACATCACTAAGAGATTCTATACTTTTGCATTCAAGTACATTCGATTGTCCACTCTTACGCTCTTTTTAATTTCTGTTTTCTTTTCTTTATTTTTTCCTTCTTTTTATCTTATTTAGGCTGGTTCAAGAAGACGTTTAATGAAACGTAAAGATGCAGAATTTAATCAATATAAACAACAAATTGAAGCACAAAAACAACATCATTCTATATTAAGTGTATCATTAGAAGAATGGTTAAGTTCACCACATAATAGTATTACAGATAATTTATTAGATAAAAATGATCCTTTAATCAATAATTATTAATAATTCTGATCCAGATTATTTGGGATCATAAATCAGAATAATAATAATAATAATAATAAAGGTTATATCATTCACTTTGTGATACATACAAATGGATATATATATATATAAACAGATAGGTGATAGATCCCGATCAACAATGATCTTATTTGTTGTTTATGTTCTATTTCAAAAGGATAACTTGTCCATTTTGTACATCATTGAATAGTATTCAATGAAAATCAAGATGATATTCATCAGCTGATGATCCATCAATCATAATTGATTAGTATCGATTATTCAAGATGATCTCTATTGTAAATATTATATACATATATATCTCTATCTGCATATAGAGATAGATATCTATATAGATTATATATATATATATATATATATATATATATATACAATGTATACATTGTATACATTATATTGCCCCCCCCCATATTATTATTATTTGTCATTATCGGTGTTGTTCAAATCAATTATGTAATGTGATAATTAAATATTCCAAATGTTTGTTTGTTTGTTTTTGTTTTCCTTTTCTTTTGCATAATTTTCTCTTTTTTTTCTTTCACATATTTATTTGTCGTAGGGAAATTCAAAAGTAAATTAGATCAATAAATTCAATGGATATTAGTGTTTTATTTGATTGTTTCTAATGGTTACTTTAGACTGGTCAGTTTTCTTGTTGATATGGGGATTGTTACGATATATTCCTTCGAAGTAAAGATGGATAATGGTTAGTAGTAGAATTCATGATGCGCGCCGCTTCATGTTATTCAGGAATCTTCAGCTGAATGTGCTTACATCACATGTTTGATGTTTAGTTTGGGAATTGAATTCAGTATTATTCGCTTCAAACGTCATCACATTATCCATTTAGTTACTGAGTCCTCATAGTCACCTGATTGTTCAATCGGGTGAAATTATATTCACTTGGTGTTGTTAACATGAAGCTTCTTATTGATCAGTCGCTTATTGGTATGTGTGAATACTGTGAAGATTGCCTCGATACAGCCTTAATTTACAAGCATTATAAGCAAAAATGGATAGCGGTTAGAAGTTGTTGAATCCAGGACTTGTGTTTCGTCCTGAGTGGCTAACATGATGATGTTTGAAGCGAACGGTACTGGGTTCGAGTCTCAGGGTGAACATCAAATCAGATGTAGGTACATTCAGATGATGAAACCCAAATATAGAGGAACATGCGTCCTGGATTTCCCTGCTAGCCACTATCCATCTTTGCTTATTTAGATAAATATTTTGTTTTAATTTATGGTTAATCAGTAAATAATACTGTTATGTTCGTTCATCGATTAACACAGAATACGGTATACAACCACGTCATTCGAATGGATAGAACCGCCCACAGTTGCAAAGTCAGAAAAAAGTTGGAGATTAGATTATTGGGTATGAATCAAATATGTACAGGAAATTTTGGGTATTTTTAGATATTAGCTTTCGTTATATCAGGATTATAATTCAACCAATCCGCGAAGAGTCATATTATGCTACCGTCCAATAGTAGAATGCCACATCGACATTCTAGAAAGCTCCATCATGTTCTGATTGGATGGAAACTCCTCGAATCTTTTAGGGTCTCTGAAGGCTCCAACATAATTTTCGGAAACCATCCCAAGAAATACTACAAGCATAATGCTTTGAAGTTAGTGATTTTTGTCTGTGGTATACTACGGTAATAGGACTGAATTGGATCACCAGGTTTATAATACAATTAGTCTTGATTAATCGAAGGATTCATTATGCATAGATCAGACCACATTAAATTAGATAACCGATTCACGATCAAAAATAGAGTACCAGAGTAACGATAGGCAATCAATTAATTCCATATAATTACAATTAGTTTACACTCAGTAATTTCAGAACGAAAATCAGTAAGTGCTATCATGAATTCACTTAATCTGCGAACGAGAAACAAGACTCGGTGACCAAAGACCAGTAAGCTAGCTATTGATGCGTCCCAGCCCCACTAACTAGAGGGAGAAGTCCTAGCTTGGAACGAGGGAGTATATTCTGCAAACAGCTAGAAATGAGCGATAACAAGGAACATAATTCAAAATATATACAGTACAAAACCGTCCTTGGGAAGAGTTACCAAATAGCATACTAAAAGATGCAATGGACCAATCGCATTTAAGATATTTCCGAATGGGAAATACGACATGAAGGTGACAAGAGTGCCTTTGGCGCGAAAACAAAGGAATTCAACTTTTGTAAATAAAATTACAAAATTAGGTCCTTTCTCATGTGAGTTCTGGGGATCTAACGTCCCAACAGTAAGGAAATCATATATTTAGTAATCAATAAGCTAAGTGTCTGTTTGTCAAAACTCAGTAACCAGTCATATGTATTTTCACTACTACAAATCAACAATCGAGTCGACTTAAGGAATGAAATTTCAAGAAAACCATCGGATTCGGTCTGGCCGCCCGGGTAGTATCATAGCCCTCACACAAATCAAAACATTTGTGCGGCGCATATATATTTTTGGTACCTCCTTGTATCAATGTAACTTCAAGACAGTTCTACTGTACGGAGCTAAAACTTAGAGAACTACCACAAACACCATCAAAAAGGTACAAGTATTTATCAACAATTGTTACAGCAAAATATTGAATGTCCGTTATCCGGATAACACCAGAAACAGGATGGTGTGGGAGAAAAAATCAGCTCCCATTTGAAGAATTTAGGAAAGATAATGGAGGTGGAGTAGGACATACATTACGGAAATCATCAACCTGTACCACGAGGCAAGCACCAACTTTGAATTCTCAATAGAAACGAAAAAGTGGAAGTTTAAAGAACAGATTGCGTCGGGAATTCGAAGTAGATGTCAAAAGGATGAATAGCAACTGGAGAGAATTGCTCAGGAAAGAATTGAATGCAGACTGCTGGTGGGTGACCTATTTTTCTCTACAAGCAGTAACACGTATAAGTAAGACCTAATTGAATGTGAATCAATTAAAAATTCAACCATTTGTTTATAATTTTATATTGCGAACTGATCCTAATTAAACTAGTAATATAAGACTTCTCGATAGTATATATCTACGACCCTATCAAATAGTTATACCCACTAGAACTTTCAAGTTTCATAGAGAATGTTTTACATTCACATCACTAAATTACAATTGAATATTCATTAGTCCTATTCTACTTAAATGGCATTAACTACTGAATGATTAAGTTTACCATCAAAATAAACTTCATTCTAAAATCGCTATATTGCTAAACTAAACTTATGTAATATATATATATGAAATGAAATGATATATATATATATATATATATATATATATATATATATATATATATATATATATATCTAATATGGTTACTGCCGGTCCCAAGCCCGGGTAAAGGAGGAGGGTTGGGCATGGGGTTAGCGTCCCCATCCCGTAGAAAACTAACTCGCTAAAAAAACGCTTACCAGAAAAAATAATCCAAACCATTTAAACTCTGCCCTGGGAGTTAGAAGGTCTTCAGTTAGAAGAATTATGACGCTTCATGGTGAAAGCCGAGTTCCTTCGGAAGCCACGAGGCCGATGCCCCTTCTAACAACCAGAGCAAAAATTTTTATAGGTACATGGAACGTTCGAACAATGTGGGAAACCGGGAAGACCAGTCAAATAGCAATGGAAATGAGGAGATACAACTTAGCAGTACTGGGAATCAGCGAAACCCACTGGACCCAAGCTGGACAGAAAAGGCTAGCTACGGGAGAGATGCTGCTATACTCCGGTCACGAGGAGGACAATGCTCCACACACTCAGGGAGTCGCTCTTATGCTGTCCAAAGTAGCACGAAATGCACTTGTAGGATGGGAGTCTCACGGATCCAGAATCATCAAAGCATCATTCAAAACAAAGAAGGAGGGGATCTTAATGAATATTATCCAATGTTATGCACCCACCAATGATAGCAACGACGACATTAAAGATCAGTTCTACGAGCGGCTGCAGTCAATCATTGAGAAATGCCGAAGAAAGGACCTAACTATTCTGATGGGAGATCTAAATGCCAAAGTCGGAATAGACAACACTGGATATGAAGATATTATGGGACGACATGGACTGGGAAAAAGAAACGAAAATGGAGAAAGATTTGCAAATTTGTGTGCATTCAACAAATTGGTCATAGGAGGCACAATATTTCCACACAAGCGTATACACAAGGCTACATGGATCTCACCGGACCACACTACAGAGAACCAAATAGATCATATTTGCATCAACAAAAAATTCCGAAGGACAATGGAAGATGTGAGAACCAGGAGAGGTGCTGACGTAGCTTCAGATCACCACCTAGTTGTAGCCAATTTAAAACTGAAGCTAAAAAGAACTGGACAAGTGGACAAACAGCACTACAAAGGTTCAATACAGCCTTCCTTCGAGATACTGACAAACTCAATGAATTCAAGATAGCTCTCAACAACAGGTTCCAAGCCTTACAAGATCTACTGAAAGAAGAAGAAACTAGTATGGAGGACAACTGGAAAGGCATCAAGGAAGCATTAACTTCAACGTGTCAAGAGGTTCTGGGCCTAAAGAAACACCATCATAAGGAATGGATCTCTATAGAAACACTGGACAAGATCAAAGAAAGGAAGAACAAGAAGGCAGCAATTAACAACAGCCGAACACGAGCAGAGAAAGTTCAAGCACAAGCTGAATACATAGAAGCAAACAAACAAGTGAAGAGGAGCATTAGAGCCGACAAGAAGAAATACGTGGAAGAACTAGCAACGACGGCAGAAAAAGCTGCTAGAGAAGGAAATATGAAACAGCTTCACGATACAACGAAGAAACTAGCAGGGAAATACAGTAAACCAGAGAGGCCGGTCAAAGACAAAGAAGGCAAGCCAATCACCGAAATTCAACAACAGCGTAACAGATGGGTGGAATACTTCGAGGAACTCCTGAATAGGCCGGCTCCAATGAATCCACCGGACATCGAAGCAGCACACATAGATCTTCCTATAGATGTCAACC